CATTTGCTTATGCACCCATTTGTCTTCAGTGATCCGTTCGACACCTCGTGATCACACAGGTTGATATGTTGTTCCATGTGGGCTTTGTTGATGGTAAGCATTCTTAAGATTGTTGCCCACCTTTTGGGGTTTTTTCTGCCTCTACCCCTGACCCAACAAACAGGGTATTAAATATAATTCCATTTCCTTTGCCTTCCTCTTCATTGTAGTCAAAAGACCTAGGAATGATTGTCCAACTGTAATTGATAATGTTCCTTTCTAGATACTGGTAGCATAGTTTGAAATTTTGACCAAAGCAATCGATGCAGTAAGGTGGTGTTATTTTTCCTCCTATAGAAGAGTCAAGAGTGTCTGCATGCCTGCCGTCTAGCAGAAACACTTCTATACTTTATCTACAACTCATGGCAGTGCACAGGGTGCCAGTTAAAGAGACTATAGCAATACTGTAATCATGTTTGAGGTTCTTATTATAAGTTAAGTGTGACATGCAGAAAGAAAGGAACTAAACTCGCTGGCTGTGTGGCTGGCACAAAGGGGCTTCAGAAAACTCATGGGGGAATGGAATGAAAGGACGATGGACCTTTTCCAGGAACTTTTGAAGGCCCCTTGTTAAATGGCCACGTGGTTGCATGCTGTAATTCCCAACTTGTAAGCTTTTGTGGAGGGGTCAGGAAGGCTACCCATGGATGCCTGTGGCATTAGAAGACACTAGGCCACGGGCTCGTCAAGGAGCACCTTCCCACCCATTTCTTAAAGAACCAAGTCGTTCTCGTAGCTTGAATATTTGGTTATAGTTTAGGAAAAGGGGAACAAAATTTTCCTTCTATTTTTAACTATTTCAGAAATCAAATCAAGCATTTTTTGACCTGAAGTAAAAGCAGTCTCTTGTTCATTCTGAGTGCCAGTGACTGACAATTTCACTTCGTAAGCAGGGCACCTTATTTTGAAATGTATGCCCTGGTTGTTTTCAAAGTTAAGGCTTTTCAACAACTGCTGTGACTCCAGATTCCCAAATAGCTTCTGTTCTTACTGGGCCCAGGTAAAATCTGCTTCATGATCCCAAAGTCATAGGAACCATATACTGAAGACCTTCAGTAAGTGTCGGATTAGCCATTATTCACGGTGTTAATTAGGGTTTATTCCGAGGAAGCCGTAGCTGCCTATAATGGACAATACACCTTTGAATCTAACAGGCCTGAGTGTATTGGTTCTTGTTCACTTCTCTACATGGTTGTTATCAAATGGAACGATGATAGAGCGCTCCCACCTCTGCTCAGGTGCACAGTGAAATGGAACCGTGTGTGCGAAGTTTTTAGAACACTAGCATTTGTTATATGCCATATAGTTATATTATTTTTCTGTATCAATATGTTCTTGTAAAAATTCCATTCTTCTCCCTGCTACCTAACTTCCCTTCTGATCTTAAAAGGATAGGGGAGTAGAGGGAGGACGGTTAAGGGAGAGAAAGGGAGAAATAGATCTATAAAGAGTGTGTGGGGGGGGACTAATGGCTTTACTGAACTCAGACAGAATTGAAAGTAATCGAGTCATCAAATCACTCATTCAAGGAGTCACCTTTGGGAAGTTAAAAGGAAAATGCACGCTCTCCTCAACATGGGTACGTTCCAAAGACCAGGTCATCATATAAACGCATTTTGTGAAAATGGAGAATTGACCATATCAGATCACAAAAACTGCCATATCACATCATTACTGTATTTTGGGGGAAATCGGTTATACTGTCATTTTTCAAGCCATACAAACCCTCATGTTAGTTTCTTATGTGTGCTGTACACATGTGTGCATGTAATATGTTACTTTCATGGGTTTACTGTGAAAAGAGTACATATCTGCCAAGCCACTAGAAGGATGGCTTCGCCAAATTGATTCATAACCTTTACCATCCCAGCCAGTGTGATGCTCACCATTTGTTACTGCCAGGCATATGCTGTTAACATGCAAAATAGTCTCTTGTCGTTTCCCATTTGAATGTGAAATGACAGGTAGGTATAGTCGATGAGTGAGAGGCTTAAGTGTATTTTCAGTGCAGTTTGCTGCCAGAAATAACACAGGACACTAACAAGCATCTGCCACATACAGTTGAGTAGAACCTGATCAAAACAGATGTTTTTCTAAACAAGAGCTAAGGAAACTAAAGACCAGTTGGAAGTCTGATCAACTTCATTTTATGTTTATTGTAATAAAATTCTGAGCCCTCATTCTCAGCAGTATAATTCCAATTCCGATGCCCAATGTGTATTCCAACAGAGGAGAAGACATCATGAGCCTCTAAGCTGTGAGAGGCTTCTAAAGTCCCTGTCATGTGGCGTGAACACAGTGGGCTTTGTCCACAGACTGTCTGAAGGCCCTCGGCTGCATCATCTTTACACGCATGCCACTCTCACCAGTGACATCATTCTCTCCCGTGTGCGTGCCCTTATCTTTGCTCTCGCCTCCTGCTTGCCTGAACGCTCGTGTTTCTGCCCTTTGTGCCACCACCAGACTAAGATCCTTCCAGGTAGAAAATGCCCCCGTTCACTGCCGCTGTCACCAGGCTCCGGTGTGGTTACTTTGCTCTGAAATAGGTGGAATTGGATTCATTGCATGATCTAACTTGTATTCCTTGCTTCCTATAGCCCTGGTAGCTCAAGAACATCTGACAGTGGATGCCAGAGTCTACTCCTATGCCCTGGCACTGCAGCATGCAAACACGAAGCCATTTGAAGTCCCCTTCCTGAAATTTTAAGGCCAGAAATGGACACCTGCCAAATGGTTTCACAGGCATGACCAGCTGGCCGCCCTCACTCAGACTTGGTATTCAACATAATTTAATGCAGATTTGAAAGTTAGCTCTTTTTCACACAATAAAAACCAACATAGAATGCATGTGGTGGTATGGAGTTGTAATTACAGGTAGCCTGTCACTTTCATTTAAATTTGTTGAAAATCCAGCTCTTGTCAATGAAAAAGAACAAAGCTGTGGATGTATTTCAAAAAAATAAAGGGCAAAACTCAGCTGGCACTCTTCCAAAGTAGGACATTTTCGTAGGAAAAATACACAGATTCCACGTGAGGGCAACTTCTCCAACATGCAGCCCCTACTGTAAAATTCTGTAAGCACTCACTACTGACTGCAGGCATGTCTAAGGTTTTGTTACTTTTTAATCTCATCTTATTTGCTATATTTAACGGGGTAACAGTATAAAATCAATAAATAGGCAATAACATTTCTGGTTAGCAATTAGGTACTTATAGTGCCCTTACAACTGTTTAATTACTGAGACTGTACCAGTTTACACTATGAAAAACGGTACATTTCACACACATCATGTGGACAGACGAATGAAAATTGAGGCCCTCTCAGTGAGTGCACCGGCAGTTAGAATCTGATTCCTCTACCCCCACCCTCAGAAAAGATGTACAATTTCTAAAAATCAAGTCCATTACAAGAGTTATCTGGCTTTGGCCATTTTCGTCTTGATGTTAAGCCAGGAGTTTCTAAAAGTTGCTAAGCTCCAGAAAGCCACTACAGTCAGGAAGGGAAAACCCCAGGGGTTGTTTAGATCCCGTCATCCGACGACGGTTCTACCAGCACTACTGGTCATCAAGGGGATCCCCGAATCCTTCCTCCCCTGGTCCCTGTTAAGTCTCCAGAAGCTCCGGGATTGTTGCCTTTTTAGGGGAGTCCCCTCTCCTGATAATGAGGGAGGGAGGGAGGGGTCATCCTCACTGGCCAGTGCTGTCATGTTTTTAACCCCTCAGCATTATATGAAAGTTACTCTCCAGATAAAAGCAGGATATGAATGCCAAAAGAGCTCCCAGAATTCATTCATCTACAGGTCCACTGATATATCTAGAGACTTTCTGAGTGCAAATATGGTTATGCTAGACTTCTGAAGTATGGAATTACAGCACCTAATAGATATACTTGTGTATAAACTGAGTTTTTCAGCACATTTTTTATGCAGCTTGTGTGGTAAAATTAGGTGCCTTGGCTGATATTCGGGTCTGCTTATACTTGGGTATATACAGTCATTCAAATCCATTCTTCCTTTCAATAAAACAGTCCGGGACCACTGGCTACAATAGCAGCCTACTCTTTTGCCTCTGTATGTAACCTTTTAAAAAACCTATTTCTAATAGTGGAAATCTCCAAAGACCTTACTTCAGCAGTTCTCAACCTGTGGGTCGTGACCCCTTTGGGGGTCAAATGACCCTTTCACAGGGGTCACCTGACTCATAGCAGTAGCAAAGTTACAGTTACGAAGTAGCAACGAAAATGATTTTATGGTTGGGGGTCACCACACCATGAGGAACTGTATTGAAGGGTCGCAGCATTAGGAAGGTCGAGAACCACTGCCTTAATTCTTTCCCTTGAATCAAGGGGCACATTACTTTCTCTTGTCATTGCCACTGGTCCATCTCTCCCTTCACCAGAAGCCTACAACTGGCTCTTCTACCATCTGCCTGAAGGCAAAATGACCACTGCTTTTTGTAATCTTTCTTCTTTTCCTAAGGGTGCATTTGAGAAGTGACATCAAATCCTAGAATATAACCCTAATGCTATGTTTATCAACATCAAGACTGCTTGGAAAAGCCCATGTTTACGAAGTGGCAAACTGGCAAGTTTAAATGTTTATTTGCCAGCATTTTTAAAGTGACGGTTATATAAAAAAGGCCAGATTCCCAACTTCTGAGAAGAAAGATCGGTTCCACATTTGTCTAACAGTGGTTGGCGCGCTCCTAGATGTTCCCTGGCCAGTTACTATCCGGCCTGCTTCTACCTGGGTTTGTCTCTAACTCATTAAGACGTACTTCCAACACTTACGTGAGAAACAGCCATTTCTGAACAGGAACTTTAAGTTGGGGGTTTTCTTCCCCCTTAGCTGCAAAGCCTACGCTTTGAAAAATGAATTCTTTGCAAGGAACTGCCATTTCAATGTAAGATTAGAGAAATATTGCTTTCGTGGGACCACAGTTTCCCTGGTTTGGCGTTTTTTCCCCAAATTAGTCATACAGGCGATTACCCTCTTACAGTATTCGGGGAAAACAAACTATTGTCTGCTGTCTTTCAATAGACACCTCCGAATGGAATTTTGTAAATGTCCTGAACCTGTACAAATCATCTTAGAAAGTGTTTAATATGAGATTTCTTTATTTTTTGAACACAACAGAAACGTTTACGAAAGAAAAGTTTATTGTCTGCTGTTTGCCACTCATGTTGCTGCTATAAAGTACAACAACAATACACAAATACACAGATTCCTAGCATGAACTGCTCACGGCTCACCCCCACTGAGCTAGACACTGCTTGAGAAATAGATATTTTCAACGGGGGTTAAAACAGAAACGGAAGCATAGTGTTGGCACATAACCTGGGTAGGTAATCAGACGGCATAGCCAGTACAGTGGAACAGCGGGGCGCACGTGCTGTCCCTGGGAGGGGGGCGGAAGCAGGAAGGGTACTCCGAAGCTTAATGTTGCTCACCTGGGTGAAGTGGACGATTTGAGAAGGGCCAAATAAAAGAGGTAGCGGGAAGGGGACGGAATGTGGATACTATGAGTTAAAAAAGTAGAAAAATATCTAAAATAGAGATTAGATATAAATGTTCCGGAACTCATTAAATAAGCTGAAAAATACTGGAAGGTGGTGATCTGAACTACAGTTAGTGTTAAACAAGTAGTTAGTGTTAAACAAGTGGGGGGAGTCAGTCCTATGGGTTCTGACGGTCGTGTGCCAAACGATTCCATGTCACCGTCTCGCGGTTGTGACAGGGCAGCAAGGGAGGTACACTGGTTTCCGGCGTCACAGCAACACTCGATGGACATTTCAAACGAATAATGTAAACTTGAGTCTTAAGGCAGCTGGTACTAGTGCTGCACACAGGCTTAGCTCCGGGCCCATCTCGAATGGGGCGGTTAGCACTGGAAAACAAGCAACTGAGGGGTGGGAGGGGAGCCAGCATCATCTGACAAACACAACACCAAATTATTTTCCCTTTCTCACACGCACACACAGAAATATTTGTACATTTAGAAAAACAAAGCCCCCATCCCTCCGACTTCGGCCTGTTCCTTAACAAATATTTCAAAATACTGATAGATAATAGTGACAGCGAGCAGAATCCCAGTGCCGGAGCCAATGGCTCCCAGGAAGTCAGCCAACACGGACAGGGCGCCGATGCACAGACCGCCAAACGCAGCTGCCGTGGGGATGTACCTAGGAGAGGAAAACCCTTAGTCAGTGCTGCGAAATGCTGGCAGGGGCAGCAGTGGGGCCACAGGGCAGCCAAGGTTCCCCACAGTGGTTCCCTCCCACCGAAGCAGAACCGCACTGAGCAAACAGGCCCAGTTGGGGAGCACTGGTGGAGAACCTTGGAGACTCCAGGTGAATGCAAATGTGTGTGGCCATGGCAAGGACTTCGACACTCCCAACTGCACAAAATCAGTAAAGAACCAAAAAAAGAAAATACATGATTCTTTGGGTGAAAAATTTAGAGCCCTCAATTTAGATTTAAGTATTAAAATGTGTACTGTTTGTAATATACAATCTTCAACTCCCTCTTGTGGAATAAATAAGAAGAATATATAAATGTATGTGGCAATGATTTTATGACACTCTTCAGCACTAATTTAACTTTGCCTGCAAAAAGCCTCACCTGGAGAACTGTTAGCTATGAGAAATTAACAGGCAACGACACATGAACATGGATGGAAGGGTATTGATGATGGCAACTAAACTGAAGATTGCTGGACATAATAGATTCTATTTAGAAATAAATATAAACACTGATGCTTTCAACAAATAATACTCTAAGACAATTGGATATCCACATGCAAACAACAACAAAAAAAGAATTTGTGCCATTACCTCATACCAAACACAAAACTTAAAAGACTATAGAACTTAATGTGAGAACTGAAACTATAAAACTCCTGGAATAAAATTACAATAAATCTTTGCTCCTTGAGTATAATAACAGGTTAGATACAACACCAAAAGCAGCATAAAAAACCAGAGAAAAAAACAAATTTGGACTTCCTCAATTTGATAACCCTTGTATATCAAAGGGCACCATCAACACGTTAAGAGGAAGCCCCACAGGCAAACCCATTTCTCACCAGGGATTTCTATCCAAAGTGCATTCATAAAGAAAAATTCTGAAACTTAGACAAGTGACCCAATTTTTAAAATGGGCAAAGTAAATAGGGATTTCTCTAGAGAAATATGAGTATAGCAATCCCATCAGAACACATAGCCATCGACTCAGTTCTGACTCAGCAACCCAAAAGGACAAAGAATTGCTCCGCAGGGTTTCGGACATTAGATCCGGACGGGAGTGACTGGTGGGTTTCAACCACCAACCCTGCAGTTCGTAGCCTAGCACTTAACCAGGGAACCAGGGTTCCTTAAAATGGTCCGAAAGGCCCATGGGAAGATGCTACACAGTATTAGTTGCCTGTCAAAAGCATATCGAAACTAGAACCAAGTGGCACTTCACACACCACTCAAAATCTCCCTGCCATTGAGTGAGGCCCAACTCAGTGACTAGGGCTGAGTAGAACTGCCTCGGGGTTCTGGAGGCTGGAACTCTGGATGGGAACAAAGAAGCTCATCTTTCTCCTGAAGAGCAGCTGGGAGGTTTGAACCTCTGATCTTGTGATTAGGAGCCCAAAACATAACCCACTACTGGGAATGTAAACTGTGGAGCCACTTTGGAAAGCTGCTCAAAATGCTAAATCACAGACTACATGACCCAATACACTCACTTCCTAGAGAGTTTAAAATACAGCCATGTAAAACGTGTACAAGTATACCCCAAAGGATTATTCATAGTAACCAATAAATGGAACCAACTTGATTATGCAACATGGTATTGGAATGTTAGTCAGCCTAATGTATGATGTTTTGATACATGCTACAACACAAGCCCTAAAAATATGCTAAAGAGTGAAAAAATTGCTAAATTTAAAATGTCATTTTCAAAAGATGCCAAATTTTGATTCCCATTATATGGAAACGGAAGTAGACAAATCTGTAATGAGAAAGCAAATTAGTGGGTTGCCTGCGACAAGGGGTAGAAGGGTGGGGCAGGAATGGGGAAGGACTGTACTCGGGTATCAGGATTCGTTTCGGGGTGATAAAAATGTTTTTAAATTGTAAGGATTATGCAACTGTGTACTAAAAAACCCTGAACTGTTCACTTCAAATGGTGAATTACACGGGATATGAATTATCCCTCAGTAAGACAGTTATGGAAGAACAAAAGACTGATGCCTGGGACTCACGCCAAACCAACTAAATCAAGTTCCTGAAGGCCAGAATCAATATTATTTAAAAGCTTCAGAGTGATTCTACGTTAAGAATAACATTTTAAACCTGTGCTGAGCAATGAAGGGGATGTAATTTCAACGCAACTAACATTTTAGATGCCAAACCTGATGTGGGTAACAATTACATTTTGCATGAACTCTTGGCTCTCTGTGTGAAGTAAAAGAAAATGTTTTAAATATGAATTTCAACCAAAAAAGAGTAACACTTAGGGATACATTATATCTGGAAAGACCAAGTATGTGTCTATACATACACATACTCTCTTACAAAGGATTAAATCCAATGGTCTTACCTATTAAGCTCATGAACCATTGAGGTATCCCTGTGACCCCTCATGACCATTTGCTGCTCTTTAAGCTGTTTAGCCACCTGCCAAGAGTAAAACAAATTGTAAAATAAAATGCTTGCCACTCCGTGTTTATTCTCTATCAGGTTCTGTGGGAAGTGCTTTTACAGATCATCTGCTATAGTGCAAGAGCAGTGGAGTAAGCTGATCCCAGTTCAACCTGGGATAAAAGGATCTGCTGCAGCTCAGCTACAAGCTAACCTCTCACCAGGTCCGTTTTCTTAGGCTTGTGGCAGTACACTGAGCAAGAAATTCTATACAAAGCAATTGGGTTTTGTCAGGTAGGGTTCCACTTTGGAGAGGGCACATACCATTGTAATATCCAAGAATTTTTCACCCTCTAAGAACTAATTTTTCCCTTCCCGGGTCTGACATTGCCCCCTGAAGAATATGAATTCAAGTTTAAATTGCAAAATAATTCATGAGTTTATGAATTTCCATTTTCACACCTAGAAAGGGTTTCGACCGAGCCCTCAATTTTGTTTTTATTTTGAAAGAGACCAAATACGTACATCTTTGGCTGAGGAACCAGACACCTCGATCCACGTCTTAGAAAAGAATGCACAGGATCCCAGCATGAAGATGATATAAACAACCACATGGCCCGGATCCTCAAAGATGGCCCCCATGGACTCCGGAGGCGAGAGATAGTAACAGAGGCCTCCGACTGGGTACGAGCGAGCAGGCCCGCCTCCACTGACATCCTGCAGCCCAACGAGAAAGGAAGATCAGGCAACTCACAAGCCAAGCACACAGCTTTATGCATTTTCACATTTCTCAAATACATGGCTGTGTTCAGCTCAAAGTGCTAGGAGCTAATAATGATCCCATAAAATTTTACTTTGACCTGTAATGTCCCCAGTCCTCCTGAATCACAGTGAACATCAATTCTGTGTAAGACAAGGTGACTATCTTAACAGAAAAGTGATGCTGAAAACAAATTCATTCCTAGTATACACTGAATAAGATCCTCTCCGCACTTCCCTAAGACGAGAATATTGATTTACAATCAAGATGGCCTTTAGAATCTGAGGGTTGCTGAACTACATAAAAGTACCCAGCATATTAAAACATATTTGTATTATTCATCTATTGAAAATTATAATGATTTTTGTTAATGATAGTGAAATAATCTGAAAAAAGGTATCAAAAGAGGTGACAGAACCTAAAAAATGTTATCAGTGGCACTGAATTGTACATGTAGAAACTGCTGAACTGTGCTTAATTGTAAATATTTTATCAAAAATAATAAAGAATACAATCAAATGAAATACCAACAGAAGACAATTTATTGTCTAATCTTTACATGGTTTGTGTATTGTCATAGGGATAATCTTTTAATGAGTCATCTTAATAGTGGGATTTTTTTCTGCACAAATATTTTAAAATGTTATAATAATATAAATAGGAATAACATGTACTTGCTCATTAATCCCCTATCAAAAGAACTATTTATAAACTATTCAACATTTCCCAATATTCACTGGGAAAAAGAAACACAATACAATTAACATCATAACACAATCTACAGAGAATGAGCCACTCAACGCATTCACTTCCATGACAATCATCCCTGAGTCCAAATCCACTCCTAGGCAATGAGTGTGGCTCTGTGATTCTGACGCTGTTCATTCATGATGGGAAGGACAGCATCCTCATTCCCCTCTGCAGCCCTTTCTAGTTACAGGGTGCAGAATACAAAAGGTAAGTAAGCATCTGCTACACAGATAGAAAAGGAGTATTTTCGTTATAACGATTCTTAGTATCCTCAATGCACATTCGATAGTTATTGTCCTATCCTATTCAACTTTAAATTAAAGGAAGCAAGACAACCTTCACTAAAAGCGGACAGGCATGAGTGGCTATAATTTACAATACCAAGGATAACTTACAATTATCATAAAAAATACAACAAGCATCCTGTTTCCAGGGTAATGGCTAAAAAAAGAAAAAGAGAATGACGGTTCTTTGGCAAAAATGCCAGTTCCAGAATCATGTGCTCTACCAGAGAATAAAATACATAGTTAGTCCTACAACTTAAAGGGAGTGACACACCCCTCTGTCGGGTGACGGGTTCAAACCAATCACAGTGAACGCGACAGTAGCTCGGACTTCTGTCGCAGCCTGGTCGGACAGCTTGAGGAGGAGGTATGATGAAGTGGATCTAGAAAAGCAGGTGAGAAAGTACTGGATTCGTTTTCTAGCAGCAGGTTATCTCCCTGGTCTAGTGAATTACATTCCTCTCTCCAAGCCAGTCATTCACAAGCTGGTTTAGCGCCAGTCGGGATGTGAGCAGGGGTGGGGGTAAGGGATAATTCCAGTATCCTGTATATTGTCAGCAAATAGCTTTAAATGAATGAAACCGATTATCATGGAAACCAGTGAAATCAGAAGATTATTTTCCTGAGAGCAACTATGACATTAGTCTGAAAATGAAATAAAAATAGAATGGGATGGGGAAATGACTCCGAAAGCGTAAACAACAAACAAACAAAACCCCACTAAGTCACTTTAGTATTAGAGTAACGCACCGATTCTTCAAGGTAGACGCTAAATTCTATTCCAGGTAACAGAATTTCAGAATACTATAGTAACTGCTTCAATGACGCCTCTGCTCCTCCAGGTGAAAATGTAACTGGGAAATTCAAATTAAATTGTACTTTAAATACTTCATATCAATAATGGAATACGTACAGCCCACTGTCCGAGTAAATTGACTAAGAAGTTGCCACTGAACCGCACGGAGAGCATCTGGGAGATGACGTAGAGGTTGGAGACCAAGGCCGACTGCAGGATGATGGGGATGTTGGACGTGTAGAAGAGCTTGATGGGGTAGCAGCTGTACTGCCCCCGGTACCGGGCCGACTTGATGGGCAGGTCAACTCGGAACCCCTACAACACAAACACAAGGCTTGAGTAAGGCGACCAGACGCCCCGCTTTGGGCGGGACAGTCCGATTTTTGGCGTTTTAAAGAAGTCCTGATTTTTGGAAAGGATGCACGACAAGCTAGGGAACGGTCTATTGGGTCCATATAGACCAAATTGTTAATCAAGAACACCCCCCCTCCCTCGCCGGTCAATGGTGTCCCGCTTTAAATCTGGTCATCTTAGGCTTGAGAAAAATGGTATCTATCAAGAAAAGATGCTCAACCAGACGGACAGAACAAATAACTTCAAGGAATAGGACAGGACAAAGAGGGGGGAAATTCCCCTTGCAAACAGACTTCAACTTTTCCTTTCATAACTACTACTTTCATAAACCCCAGACCCCCCCCCCAAGATATGTATTTTAATTTTTTTACAAAACAACCTCATCACCTTCGACGTATGCTCCATTACACTTAATCCATTTGTCAAATCTACGATTCCATTCTTGGAAATATTTTTCAAACTCAACTGTTTGAATGGCTGACAGCATCTCCCCGGTTTGTTTCTGCACCTCGTCAAATCGCTGTCCTTTCATATCCCTCTGCATTCGCAGAAACAACACGAAGTTGCATGGAGCGAGGTCAGGTGAGTAAGGTGCGTGGGTCAGGAGACGCATCCTGCTTTTTGCCAAGACCCGGCACACTGAGATGGCTGCTTGAGGAGTGGCAATGTCCTGGTGGCAAAACCAGTCCCCTGTCTGCCACAAATCAGGCCTTTTTCGGTCACACACTGTTATGCAATCTTTTCAGAACCTCTAAATAGAAAGCTGCTGATTAACAACAGTCTGACCTGGTGGAATAAGCTCCAAATGCACTACAAGTCAACATTTTCATCTGTTTGGGAAGTTGATGGACGTCCAGAACGAGGTTTGTCATCAATCAACATTTCACCTTATTTGAAACAAGTGAACTACACATAGCGCTGTCTTCGTAAGTTGTGTTCAACAGTGCAACAGTTTCTGTGGCATTTTTCCCAAACAGGAAACAAAATTTCACAGCCACACACTGTTCTCTTAAATCGGCCATCACATAGAGGTAGAAATACAGGCATGTACATATGTAAATATACTTATAGATATCAATAGGGATTTCTGTCTATGTACATATATTTATATGTTAAATATTCAGGTAGCAGACAGACATTGGGCCTCTACTCAAGTCCTCCCCCAATGCAAGAACACTTTGTTCCAATAACCTGTGATGCTCACCTTCCCAACACAATCGCTGAAGACAAAAATGGGTGCTTAAGCAAATGTGGTGAAGAAGGCTGATGGTTCCTGGCTATTAGAAGATATTGGGGTCTTAAAGGTTTGAAGATAAATTGATTAAAAAAAAATTTTAAAAAAAAAAAAAAAAAGGTTTGAAGATAAACAAGCGGCCAACTAGCTGGGAAGCAACAAAGCCCACATGGAAGAAGCACACCAGCCTGTGTCACGAGGTGTCGACAGGATCAGGTAGTAGGCCGGAGAAGACCCCAAACAAACAACCATACTGATGGGAACGAGGGGGGCCAGAATGGAGACTCAAAGCCCATCTGTAGACAATTGGACATCCCCTCACAGAAGGGTCACAGGGAAGGGATGAGCCAGCCAGGGTGCAGTATGGCACGGACAAAACATACAACATTCCTCTAATTCTTTAATGCTCCCCGCTCCACACACCACCATCACCACCCCACTATCATGACCCCAGTTCTACCTTACAAACTAGGCTAGACCAGAGCATGTACACTGGCCCAGGTAAGAGCGCTCAACACACAGAATCCAGGACAGAAAATAATTTGTAACTTATCAAGGGTTCTTGGGGAGGGGAGGGGGAGGAGGAGCTGATACCAAGGGCTCAAATAGAAAGAAAATGTTTAGAAAATGATGATGGCAACATATGTACAAATATGCTTGATACAATTGATAGACGGATTGTCAAAAGAGCTGTAAGAGCCCCAAATAAAATGATCTTTTTAAAAAATGAGGTTTGATTTAAAAAAAAAAAAGAGGTTTGAGAGAAACTGCTTTTATGAGAAAATTCACTGTGACCAGAGAGAGCCATCGCAGGCAACGCCCTGGGTGCACTGACTCAGAGCGAGTTGCTCAAGGCTCGCCTAGCAGGAAAAATACATACTACGAAAGCTCCACTCTGCGGGGAGGATTGGGTGGGGTTTGGGTACACGCTCATCTACCTTAAAATTAAGTCTGAAATAGAATGAGCTGGATGGTTTGACTAGATTTCGAAACACTGAGTTGTTAGACATTCACACTCCAGGCCGTTCTCCTTAATCGCAAAATAAAAAACTCACATTCCATTCACTGCAGGGACGAGAGTAGGCTTACCTGAAAATATATAACAACAGCAAACACAAACACGGTCGCGATGAGGTTCATGAGATTGGGTAAATTCTGACGGTAGAAGGCCTCCCGTAGAGCGCGGACTTTGTCTGTTCTGGTGGCCAGTAAGTGAAACAGAGCTATGACCGCCCCCTCGAACTCGGTACCTGGAGAGGAACGCACACATGAACGGCAGGTTTGTTATGCACGGTGGCCCCAAAGGCCCAAACAAATATCCTGGACAGTCCAGTGGGCAGTAGAAATAGGACTCAAAAATAATTCATCGACATTTATTTTAGGGAACAGTCATGTAAGGAGATTCTAAAGATATTTACTCGCTGAGGCAAATGTCGTTTTTGAGCATAAAATCTGACATTTTCTCAAGGGAACGAGTCTTGATACAATAGCCAAAGTGGAATACACCAAAGCAAATGTTTAGTTCACAAAGATTTGCCTCTCCTTTACTTTAGGGAAGGAAAAGGTGTTCTGGGGGGAACGAGGGGGTGGGGGGAAGGTAGCGGCAGGAGCAAAGCAGAAAAAAGAATCAAAAGATACATATTGCTCCTCAAGCTTTTCTCGTAAGTTCATTTTACCAAGGACATTAATTGGCTGTCAGTGCTTTTTGAAGGCTGGAATCCGTTTATATGTTAACCAAAACGAACCCAGAGTGGGGTTTGAGAGAAATGGAGACAGGTAAAGGGGACAACAGAATAAGAATTTAAAATGTAGGTGCTTGATCATAGCACCGAAAATAGAATAGCAGCAAACGGTATCCTCCCTGATGACACAAAAGGGGTTTTCTCATTTAAAATACTGGACTCTCCCAGCTTATGTACCCTAAGAATGCTGAAACTGGTCAAAAAATGGCTTAGGCAGCAATGGCTTAAGCAAGGTTACAAACAAAAAGTTAAAAATCTGCTTGCAACCACTGAGCAAAGGCTACATTCTTGGTTTTCTTTTTGGAAGTATTAGTTCATACTCCCCAAATCTCTGCTTGATTAACTTTTGAGCAGTCAGCATTAGTTGTGTCCTGGGACAGCCAATCAGCCCAGGCGGAGAGAGGCATGTCCTGCTACAGGATGGATTCGTTTTCAGCACACATCCAGCAAAACGTCGTGCAGGGGCAGTCGCTGTGCAATGTACCTCTGCCAGTGTTAATGGTAGTGGGACTAAAGGCCTTCCAGACAATGGTCTCACAGATGTTGGTGGCAATAAAGAGGGAAATACCAGACCCCAAGCCGTAACCCTTCTGCAGCAGTTCATCTAACAGCAGCACAATCAAACCAGCAACAAACAACTGTGGGGAAAGAAAGGCAAGTGAGCTGAAGCAAGAATAAATGCAAGAGGGGAGGGGGGAGATGAACACCATTGACTATTTTCAAACCATGGGCAGTTTGAACATTAAAGCAGTACTCGGTGCCCTGGTGGCACAGCAGTTAAAGTGCTCGGCTGTGGAACCTAGAGGTCAGTGGTTCAAACCCACCAGCTGCTCCGCAGCCGAAAGATGAGGTTGTTTGCTCCCTTAGTGATTTAGAGTCTCAAAAACCCACGGGGTAGTTCCACTCTGACCTATGGGGTCGCTGTGGTTGTAATCGACCCAAAGGCAGTGGGTTTGTTTGGGGGATAGTATTGTTATTAGGACTAGCTATATTTTCTTCAACCTGGGTTAGTTTTTGTCAGACCCTAATTCTGAAAACCAGAGGACTGGAAATACTGTTATACACAAGACATTTCAACTTTAACAGTATATTTATACACCATTTGAAGAGTTTCCTATACAATGTTTAAATAAAGACGACTTTAAAAGCACCCTAAATTACAATTTGTTCACAACTGTAGAACTTAAAATAGCAAGAATCTGAAAACATCCAAAATACCTCTAAGGAGGTATTTTATTATGATAATCCAATAAGAAAAATTATGATCATCATAATGATATGATCTAATCAGTACAACTGTATACTGCCAATAATGAATAAGCATGGGAACACTATTGGTACTTTTTTTTTTAAGTATAGCTCATATAGAGTAAGTCAAGAAGGAGAGTAAAAATTAACAGGGACACAAACTATAATCCTAGGGAAAATGCACTGTCTACATACAGTGACGACGACTTAATGTAAACTACAGAGGGAAGAGTTCACCAGATTCTTAAACTCGTCATTGAAATAAAAAAGAAAGCATACTAACTTTAATTTACGTGACACTGACAATTCTGAATTCTCTTCATGGAGGAGACAATTCTGTAAAAGCATGCATCAATTAAAAGCAATCCATAGCCTTGCAAGGGACCTCGTCAGTCATATGCCTCCTTCAGTCACCTAATCAAGAGGGGAAGAAAACATGCTTCTATGCCCCCATCTCTCACTTTAACAAAGATACCTGCCCTGCAGCAGCTGGAAAGGGACTTCCACTCCCCCGTGTCCAAGCCTCCCACCCTCATAATGTTCCCAAGTGTCGCTGTTAAAGTGGCCACTACCATCGGACTATCCTAAGCAGGCTTACCTTACATAGTGTTTTGTTTGTTTTTCTCCTTCTGTCTTTTCAATGGTTGAAATGCCTAATGTGTCTACTTAGTCTTTTTGCTCGACTTTCCATGGACTGCAAAAGGGTACAATTCCCCATAAAGAAGGAGCGCGCATGCCAACCCCTTACTGCGCTTGAAAACCAAGTTTGACGTTTTGACAAGATGACAGAGAAGTCAAGACTTGGTGACTTCATTTTGACTGTAATTATGCAATGAGTACAGAAAGACTTCCAATCACAAATACAGAAAGCCATCGCTCCTGAAGGAATAGCAGCTTTCCAGGAATGATCAGCCAACCAGAAAATAGTAGTGCAGAGTTCATCAAATGACTTGGTCCAAGTCACATGGGCGTGTTGAAAACAACCAAGATCCTCTAGATTCCCTGGTCAGAACAATATCAGTTAATTCTTTTTTTGATATCTGGTAATTGATTAAGATATCAATTGAGTGATTGATATCTATCTTGTGCAAATTAAAATCTTATACTCTGATTCAAGAAGGGAATTAGGGAAACCTAGAAGACGTGTGGTTTCGTAATTAAGGGCCGTAGTGAAAGGATGCACGTCTATGAAAAGGGATAAGGGGCAGTTAGAGCATTTCACTGCTGACAACACTGACGAAGCAGAATGCTCGTTCCACGTTCTGGGAGAACGTACAATATATCGTACGCACTTCTGAAGTGAACAGTAATACATGTTACATCTTGACCCTGGATTTGCACGTTTGTGCACAGCATACATGCGCACACATACACACACTTACCTTTACCATGTGTCCTGCATGCTTATATTTTCTATTCTCTTTTTTAAACTTAATCAGTACCTACTACTTAGATTTCAAAGAGCACTAGTTGAAAAACACTGAGAACACTGATCATGTAAATGAAGCAACAATTAAAGTGAAAGTTAGGACACTATACAGAAGAGCATGTAGGCAGTTCTGAAAACCTATCTTTCTAGGTGAAAATGCACTAATCCAATCATATTTACTCAGTGGATCCATATATTTCCAACATTAACATTGCCCTGAAAACACACAACTGAATCATCGCCAACAATATGGTCAAGCATGACATAGTTCCTTATCCATTAGCACCAGAATCATTAAATATAACTCCTATATATTTGCATAGCAAGATTTATGTAAACAAATTAGCCCATAGCTACTTTACTTGTTTCTTTCTTGGAATAGAAATATTCCTGGGCTTCCTAATATTGAAAAACTGTTAAGTAGCTTAACTCTATTTTACAGACATTGGAATCTCCGTAGGAAGTCCACACTTTAACCTAAAATTGGTCAGCAGAGGTTGTTTAACAGCATTAATGTCCTCAGTAATAAACCAAGGAAATTTTACTGCTACAGCATGTTTTTAATAGTTAAATGCCAATTCAGAGTGTCTTAAAAATCAAGGTTATTCTAAAATACAGGTTGCAAAGAGTAAAAGACAGAAAGAAAGAAAACATTTGAAACACTGGTATACTCAACAACACCAAATGCATGTGAAAAACTCCCAAGCATTCAAAGACATTAAAATCAGTTGTCTGAGAATCTTCTATACCACGGGTTGGCAGAAGAGCCAATCCTTCGTGACAATTTAAAAATTATCCGAGAGCCATAAATATATTTTTACAAAGAAATGAGATCATCATTATCTGAATTATATCCTATAAAAAAATTTCAATTTTACTTCAGAGCTACACGTACATACCAAAAGGGCCTATGGCTTGCGAGCCACATATGGTAGCTGCAGTCTGCCGACCTCTGTTCTATACCAATGGCTTGCGAGCCACCTATGGCTTGCGAGCCACATATGGTAGCTGCAGTCTGCCGACCTCTGCTCTATACCAATCTATTGCATATCTTTTTCCTCTAATTTCCACGAGCTATAATCAATATATAATCATATAATCAATCATTTTATTAAATGAAGAAATAAGGATGCTACTCTTTAAACAAATGTAAACCTGTTGCTGGAGAGTCGATTCTGACTCCTAGCCACCCTATGGGGCCTGGAACTGCCCCATAAAATGTCCAGGCTGTAATCCTTTTGAAGAGAGATTGCCATCTTTCTCTGAGAAGTTCAATCTACAGCCAGCAGTGGAGGCTTTAACTATGGTGCCACCAGGCTCCTTAAAGAAATGTAATTTATACTTAGTGGGAATACACTATGGCTCAGAAAAGCTACTGAAGATCCTGATTAATATATTAAATATTTTTTAACCTAACTTGGTTAAAAAATAAAGTGTTCACTCCTTATTGGAAAAGCCAACTGTACTGTGCATGACGCCTACAAAGACTTGAACCACCGAACCTCCCTTGTTCTGAGTCGGGCCTACGAAGTACCTGCCCTTTGATGACCTGTTTCCTAAAGGTGTTCTTAAAGAAGTCAATCATGCCAGTCAGAAACAGTCATATTTCACAATAGATGCAGCAGCACTAAACTGGCACTTCCATTTCATGTGAAGCTACTTCTGACCTTGATTCTTTAAAGCTTACCTAAACAAGAAAGAGAAAATCCTGACATAAGCAGAACTCTACACCTCCCCTGTTTGGCTGACATCTCTTTCAAAATCCAATGTTATTGTGTAACTTTAGTACAATCCATTCTTGGGTAACTGCTCTAAATTCCTAAGGGTTGTGCAGTTAAAAAAAAAATTCTAAAGTTTACATATGTTAAGAGAATTTACTTCAGTAATAATTATGTTGGCTTTTTAAAAAATGCTATTCCAAAATACATATTTTAAAAATTCACAGAATATATGTACATCATTATAAAATCAATTGGAGCAATGATTGTACAATTCTTCTTGATATGATTGAACTGCTGAATTGTATGATATGTGGATTATGTGCCAATAAAACTGTTAGAAAAAAGAGAATGTACATCAGTATTTTTAGTATTTCACTGACTTTAAGATACTACTGATTGTAATGACATCTGTAGCGCCAAAACAAAGTTTAAGTAAAACAGGACACAATATCTTATTACTTAGAACTTTTAATTTCTACTTATAAAAAAAGAGTTACTGTATATACTTGTGTATAAGCCGAGTTTTTCAGCACATTTTTATGCAGCTTCTGTGGTAAAATTAGGTGCCTCGGCTGATATTCGGGTCAGCTTATACTCGAGTATATACGGGTAATTAGACCATAAAACCGATGGTCCAAATTTCAGGAAAAATATTACTCGGCACCGCCCAGCCATGAAAAGCTTTGTATTCCTACCAGTCAAAATGGACTTTATGGCAGTGAGCGTCTTTCCATTCCCATAAAACGTTCGTCTCCAAATCACAGGGCAGCTCTGTCCTGGAATCACTCTGAGTATGCACCAACTGGATGGCAGTGAGTTTGATATCACCCATAATCTAGAATATTAGTATCTGCTTTTGCAGCCCCACCCTTCTCCTCCATCTTTCCAGCACTCTACAGGGCTCGATATTGCCCACTTTGGGAAACACCAATTTAGACAGATATTTATCATCTAGATTGACACACTGTTTCTGCACCTTTCTGTATAGATAACACGAACACGGTGTCACTTCTATAACAGATCGAAATATTCTGAGGGCATCTACAAGAGAAATTAAACTCACAACACATGTTCTGTCAGCAGCACACACAGCTCAGTTGAAGCAATGGCAATACAAGCCACTATGACCAAGGCTGACACACCTGTGCAGGTGATGCCAGCCATCTGACAGTGACAGTAAGAGAGTATCCACGTAAGGACACATCCTGATTTCAGAAAGATCAAAATGTGAAAAACAGGCAGCTGAGACTCAATGAAATATCTATAACCTTTTATATAAGCCACAAGGCTCTTCAAATAAATTCTTCTACTTCTACATGAAAACAATTTGTCGTTTAAATAGTGCAAACATTCAAATTAAGTGAAATACTTCAAATAGAAGAAAATGAATACATCCATTACTTATAGACTATTAGAAAAGGGGAGAAAAAGATGAATTATTTTTGCTCTCTGGATATGAAATAATAAAGCCTCTTACCTGAATAATGATGAGGAGACAGATTCCAGCACCCATTTCAGCAGGGTCCCCATACATGCCCGTCATGACATACACAATGGCTTGCCCAATGGTAATAATCATGCCAAATACTAACAGAAACCAGGGAGAGGAGAAAAGAGGACATGCTTACAACCAAAGGCCTAAGACAAGACCATGGAAAAACCTCTTTATCCTTTAGCATTATCTTCCTGTAAGATCAATTTATATGGAACCAAGCTACCAACTCAAATGACTAGACGGTAAACCTAGATGGCCGTGTTCCTAGTCATGTGGGAGAATCACCTCCGAGAGGAGGGTGGGAATGACTTGCATCACTCCAGGAAAGGAAGCAGGGCTGGCGCACCGTGCATGGAGAGATTGTTCCATATGCTGGGTAGACGCTCAGCAATAACAAAAAATACATGTCACACTTGGTCATAAGCATCAGATTTGGAGAGGACTCTTTACGTGTACATAATTTCATGCTCACATTTCTGGGCTCCATTGAATAGCGCTCTATCTTTAGGTGTATCTCCAACTTCAATGATTTTGGCTCCAGCTAACAGCTGCATAATCAAACCAGATGTTACAATTGGGGAGATACCCAATTCCATTAACGTTCCTACAAAGGAAGGAGGAAGACATAAAGATGAAAGAATACTCTAATTTATTATATATAATAATCTTCTCAATATATAGTTACGACATACATACGAGTTTTAGAAACATTTCCCATTCTTTTTATTTTTTTGAATCCTCTATTACCTCTTCTGCAGAGGTTTGATGAAAGTTTAATGTATCAATTTATTGAGATATGGTAAGCGGCAAACATGGAGAATCCATTTCATTTCTTTGGAGTCCCTGCGTATTGCAAAGCAGTGAGAGGTCCAGCTAAGAACCAAAAGGTTGATGGTTAAAGTCCACCCAGAGGTATCTCAAAAGACAGGCCTGGCAATCTACTTCCGGAAAATATTGCCAGACGTCAGAATCAGCTCCAACTCAAATAGCATGGGTTGCTTTCTTAAAGATCCTTCAGTCAATCACTCATGCTAGGTCTTTTGTCAGCAGATAAAGACACAGTAATGAACCAAACCCAATGTCACGGAATCCATTCCGAGTCATTACCACCCTAGGCAGAGTAGAACCGCCCACATTTCCCATTCTTAACTCTGTTGCAACACGTTTAAATTTTAACAAGTAACTTTTCACTCCTTAAGCATTAATCTATTAAAAAAACTAAGATATTTTAACACATAACTTTTCACTCCTTAAGCATTAGTTTATAAAAAAACTATCATTTATGAGAAATACAACTTTCCTTTAGTTCCTAAATGTTTCCTCCCCGCTCCCACTACCATGACTCGAATTCGACCTTGCAAGACTGGCTAGACCAGAGGAGGTACCTGGTACAGATAGGAACTGAAAATCCAGGGAATCCAGGGCGGATGAGCCCTACAGGACCAGTGGTGTGAGTGGCGAAACAGGGAGGTGGAGGGAGAGTGGGTAGGAAAGAGGGAACCGATTACAAGGAACTAGATGTGACCTCCTCCCTGGGGGACGGACAACTGAAAAGTGGGTGAAGGGAGACGTCGGACAGGGCAAGATATGACAAAATACCCATTTATAAACTATCAAGGGCTGATGAGGGAGTGGGGAGCGGGGAGGGAGGGGAAAAATGAGGACCTAATGTCGGGGGTTTAAGTAGAGAGAAAATGTTTTGAGAAACGATGTACAAATGCGCTTTACACAATTGATGTGTGTATGGATTGCGATAACAGTTGTATGAGCCCCTAATAAAATGTTTAAAAAATAATAAAAAAATAAAAATAAAAATAAACTATCATTTATATTTTAACACATAACTTTTCACCCCTTAAGCATTAGTTTATTAAAAAAACTATGATTTATAGTTTAACACATAAAAAACTATGATTTATAGTTTAACACATAACTTTTCACTCCTTAAGCATTAGTTTATACAAAAACCTATCGTTTATTAATATTACCTTGCAAGAATGTACTAAATTAAATAAGTAGAAATACTATGAAAATGTACATTTTAATAAGTATGAAATATTAAAGAAAATCTTTGAAAAAATAATTCAAGATTTCTGTCCATGTGATTATTCTTAAAAATTACACTAACCACTTTCATGTTAATCCAAAATAGAAAATTATACACCAAACACAAAAGTAACATACCAAACCAACTATTAAAACTGAAAAATACTGACTTTTAATATAAAACTTTTACATTGCATAAAGTCACCTGAAACAGTACTTAAATATTTATGCAGTACTTAATGAAATGAAAAATGTTCACGGCACAGTGGCTAACAAAAAAAGAAAGATTAAAAGACAATATGTAAAGTGTGATTTCACTTTAGATTTGGTAGAAAAATAGTCTAGTTGACAAAATATTTACTGCTATTACTGTTACCCAATGGGATTGTAAATTGTTACCAGTTTCTTCTGTTTGCTTCTATTTCCCAAGTTCTTTTCTTTACAGAAAATATGCACTGAATTTATGGTGAAAAATAAAAACATGTAAAACCTAAATACTACCAAGTCATGACTATATTTTTATTGGACTTTGTCACAATATACCCTTAAATCTTGCTTTATAAATGCTGAAGCGGTGCTTTGTATATGAGAAAATATTCCACTGCAGTTTGATAACTGTTAGGACAGTGGTTTAAACCCACCAGCTGCTCCATAGGAGGAAAAGGAGGTTGTCTGCTCCCGTCAAGATCTAGTCTTGATGATCAAAGGCCTCATGAAGGTTACTTACATTCACTCAAAAAGCGGACAAAGCTGCCACTTTGTAACAGGGGATATATGAATGAATGACGCATGACTGCACTGTGGACTTGCATCAGAGTGATGAGGAGGCCTTGCTTCACACTTACGCTCATGAAAGGGTCACTGAAAAAGACATGGTGCTATAGCAAATGTGGTGATAAAAGCAGATGGAGCCAGGCTACCTGAAAGAACAGCACCTGGCATCTTACAAGACTGTCTTTAAGGCAAGTGAGGTGTCAGCTAAGTCCACCTTGAAGGAGCATACCAACCCATGTGATCCAAGGATTGCAAATAATAAATTCCAAGGTCAGGGGAGGCGATTGTTTTAGGATTTAAATTCTGTGCAACTGGTTTGCAGAAGGCTATGGATGAAAAGTGAAAGACCAAAATCCATTTGCAGAGTCCCCACATGGATTAAGTCTCTACTGAATTCCCTTGGACCAGGGATACAAATAGCTTTTTACAAAAATGTTTTATTTTATTTGGGGCTCTTACAGCTCTTAACACAATCCACACTTATACCCATGGTGTCAAACACATCTGTACAAATGTTGTCATCATCTTTTTCTTTAATCATTTTATTGGGGGCTCGTACAACTCTTATCACAATCCATACATACACCCACTGTGTCAAGCACATTTGTTGCCATCATCACTTTCAAAACATTTTCTTTCTACTTGAGCCCTTGGCTTCAGCTCGGAGTTTTCCCCTCACTCACCCACCCCCCACCCCCCATGAACCTCTGATAATTTATAAATTATTCTTTTTTTTTTTTCATGTCTTACACCAA